ACATAAAGCAAATCGCAACTACATTAAGAAAATCGCAACTACATAAAGCAAATCGCAACTACATTAAGAAAAACAAACCAGCCTGTGCAAAGTTATTCTTTGGTTGTGTGTATTGAGAGATAACTATTCACAAAATGATCATATATTTGACATAAAAAGGTATGTTAACTCTTTTTAGTACGTTACCTTAGTTGAAGCCTGAATGTATGTTAAACTGATCAAAGCACTTAGTTTTACAGTAAAATAAACCAAGATGGAAGCATCTTGCTTCGAAGGTTACTGCAGATAGTTTCTGCTGTTTAACCCTTCCATGCGACACCAGAGGGTCCAGCAAGTCTGACAGATAACAGATTATATTAGTGGGAGCCAAATATTTATATTGCAGCTTGGGGCTCCTTTCACACCAGGAAGGTGGCTTGTGGACAGTTACTACGGATGTTAGTGTGTGGTTTTGAACACCAGAGCAAATAAATGGGTTTTGGTATGTTGAAGACATTTAGCACTTTTTGAGGAAAGCAGTAAAGGTTGGAATAGAAGATGCATGTCAACCACATTAGAAATGGAATGGAATGACTGATGGTTGCACAGCTTTGTCACATTTAAAACAAATCCGATATCGGTGTTAAATTACCATTGTCAGTTAAAGTGTAAATAACTGAGTAAAGTTGCTTTCAACATACAGAAATCGTTCAGATTTTGAAATACCTCTTTTACAGGCTTTTCTTTTTCTTTCTTTAATTCCAATATTTCCATTAATGTTTTGTTTTTTAATTTTTAGTTTTAGAAACAAAAAGGTGCATCTAAGTCAAACTACTTCAGTTTGATGACTGTATGTTCTCTAAAGCTAACTCCATATATTTTTAGCATGGATTCTAGCAAAGCTTACTTGTATATTATTACTGTATATCACAGATCATGTATGTTAAAATGTATATGGTGTTTATCAACCTGTTATTTGGGAATAGGTCAGCAGACATGGTTTGCTCAGTCACCGATTAACAAACACGTTTTACGCCGTTAGTAGACAGGTTTTCAGATTATTGCCATTGCAAGATAATTCATCCAAAAACACTAATTTAATCTAAACTACCCCAATAACTATTTTAATGTATACTAGAGGTTTAAAGCCTTTTGAAGCTTCCAAAATATCCTTTTCTGGGTTGCACTATATTTGGCTCCAGCCATCTTCCCTGTCCTTGCTGAAAAAAAAGAAGAAAACACAGCATGTAGCTGCTGTCGTCACCGCGTCTCGTCTTATTTCCCAACTACATGTTGCATTTTGAACGGAGGCCAAAATCTTAACTATTCTCATCTGAACAGAAGAACCACGCCTTTGCCGCTTTCCCTACATGAGAAACAATATAACTCCTGCTGATGATGTGACATCGAAAGATTTTTGTTCAGCACCATTCTACCAAGGCCAAATCCGTAAAGGGGGAAAGGATCTAACATATCCAAATATGTCAGTGATGCAGGGGATGAGTAATTTTGCGAGCTCTGTAAACCAGTAATATACAGTTTCCGTTAGAAACTAGCACTACTGACTGAGTGTAATTCATGTCTGCAGAGCCTTTCCTGCAGTTAGTCTTTGATCCCAGTTACATGAAGCTGTGTTTCTGTACACTTACTATGTGGATAATGGAGCAGTTTAATTCTGACATGCAGAAATCCAGGACTTAAGTCAACCATAGATGTCCTCTTTTATCCTTTTCCCTAAATTTTATGTCAAAATTTGACATATTATGGGTCAAATGTGACTTAATTGGACTGGAACCAGTATCCTCAGTGTGGGTTCTATGTGCGCAGTGCAGTATCATTGTCCTTTATGAACTTCACCTGCTTTTCTTGTGCACCGTGAGCACCTATGGATGTATTTCTCTTTGTCTAGACACATTTCTTTCACGATCCCTCTGCAGTGTGAGACAATATGGAGCCTGTTGTAATTTGCTTTTTTTTACTTTACAAGACAAATACACTCAGGCACCCTCCCTCAGTTGTAAATATTTTTGTTTGTTTTGCGATGTGTGTACAACACATATCTCCATAAGCTGTTTTTCTTGCTGTACTTTTATGTTTTCTGTGAAATAAATGCTATTTTACCACATCTCATTGTGTCAGTATCATATCTTCTGATTAGCCTTTTTTTGCCATATATTTATATTTATTGTGTTATTTAGTGTAAATAACCTATGGTGTAAAAATGCGACAAAATTCAGACACATCTGCCATTTCCTGTAGTGAAGTAGTAGATATGTCTCAGCTCTCCCTCTTCCTTCCTGCTCCACTCAGGATATTCCCAATTAGCATCAGCAGCTCAGCACAATACCTTTAACACAGAGCCAGTGCTATAACTCAAGAGCTGAAGTGAGGCACTAGAAAATTAAAAAGGGAGACTTCCTTTAAGGATATATTCAATCATAATTAGTAAATGCAAATTTAAAATCTTTTGTTAGATCTAAAACGTTACACTGGATAGAAAATATTTAGTAAATTTAGATGTGACTAAACATTTTCAGACCACAAATCTAAAATTCTCCAAATTTCTTTTATTTTCTTCGTTTTCTCTGCTTTGGAATGTCATGTTTTGGAATTAAAATATTCATTTTCTGCTAAGTTATAAGGCAACATCTTAACTACCAGAGTCTGGTCCTCACTCCATTTATATATTTAATCGTTTACTCAAATGATGGTATTGATTTAAAAACATTTTTAAACATTCTTAATATTTCAGTGCCCCACATTGTTCACTTTTTAAATTAATTGCTCTCTGTAATTATAGAAGCTCAGACACCAATATTTTTTCCATCAATATTAGAATAATTAAGGAAATTGCTTCCCTTCTTAGGCAATGTGAGGTGTTAAGTGGTCAAAAAGTGCATTTTCATTCTCAATAATTCTTTATAGCAGTTTTTATAAATAAAAATTCTTCTTCTTTGACTATTTGAGTTGATAAATGAGTAAATTTTTGAGATCAATAAAGTCAATAAATTAATTAATACTTTTGGGAATGATACAGAGTTAAAAGCACAACAAACCAGAAACTTTACAAAAGACTTAAACAGAAAAAGGTTGGCCCATGACCAGAATATAAGCTAACCCTTACAAAGCCCCTTTACTGTGACATCCAGGAATCCTTGTTTTTTTTCTTTACAAATAGCATTTTTCCATTCTCTCTGATTTCTAACAGTTTCTTTATTATTATTATTATTATTATTTCTGCTCCTTTAAAAAGGTATGACTTTTATAATAAAGAGTCCACCACCAATACTAAAATAATTAAGTAGTTTCAACCTGTTGATAATTATATGGGTCAGGCCACTTAAAACAGCCTCCAAGATCAACCGGGAACTAATAAAAATACATATTTACAAAAATAACATTTATTCATGATATATTTTATTGAGATAAAAGATCTAGAACTAGATACTTTGCATATGTTCTTAATACTAAAGACACACCCAATGAATTGAACTAGAAATACTTCATATTTTAGAAACTTAAAGTGCAAAAATCCAACACAATATTATATTAAACAATGTTACCAATAGAAATAAGCAGCAGTAAAATAATTTTTTCCAACGGAAATAATGCATTTCAAATGGCATGGTAGTAAAATACATTCACACCATAAACACAGACCGAAGGAGGGTAAAAACGCTTCATGTCTTTCAAAAGCTTTCAGCTAAAACTTCCAGTGTTATCATTATTCTCCACAGTGACATACAGGATGCCTGTTGTTTAAATATTAATGATGCCACTTTTAGAACAAAACAAATAAATATTAAAACAAATCAGGATTTTTTTCTAAACTATGTGTGCAAAATTATTCTAATTAACATTCCCATTCCGTTTTTTTTTTATAAAAAAAAAAAAAAAAATCATAAGAATAGAAAAAAAAACAGAAATCATATGTAAAGTTTGAGATCCCTCTAGTGGACAAAAGCTGTTATTACAACCATTTCCCAAAAAAACAAAAAACAAAGCCATTTTACCTTATTAAGAAAAAAAAACTTTTGCTACAAACAGCGCAAGAGCAAAACTTTACCCCCATCATGTTACATACCTATAACTGAATGACACTTCTAAATCCAATCACATGACAACAGGTTATACATAATTTAAAATGGCGTGTTAACAATACTGTATAATAGTAATGTGTGTTTACAGCTAATAATACACTGAACACTAACTGCGAATGCTCTTTATCTTTGTGGGTAATATCATGAACTGGATCGTACCAATAAAGCATTGAGAGAGATTACTTCATATAAGAAAAAAAACAACAACTAAAATCCTTTAGTCTGGTCTGGTTTTCCCTCCAATATTTGTAAAAACCTAAACTTAACAAGCAAACAATCAAATGACCAACACCGCCCCTTGATACAGCAGAAAGACAAAAGGCTCCGACAGCAGGAGTTCCCACTTATTAAAAAAAATGGCTTCTTCTCCAAGCAGCATGATGAAGATCCAGGTGAAGGGTCAGCCACGATGCTTACTTATCGTTGTAGGCATATCAGTGGTGTGGGTGTCATTATGTGGTATGTGGCAGTGACTTAAATAAACTCTCAAAATCAAACTTCCAAATCCATACATGTGCTTGGGAAGTTCATTTCCAGCAAACAAAAATGGCAACGCACTGGGTGTACGTTTCAAACAGCCTGTGGTCGAACTTTGGTTGACTTTTCCTTGAGATGTTGTTACTGAACAGTAAGAAAACTTCACTGATTGGTCTGGATTAGGAATGGGGCGTTTAGAGTATCGAGGAGTTTTTTTTTTTTTACAAAGTTCTGCCTTTAAAAGCACAAAAGCTTTCCAATATACTGTCCGTAAAATATAAAAAGCCACCAGAGAAGGTGCTGCAGGGACCGGCTTCCTTCAGTGAAAGGAGCAGAGTGCTGCAGCTTCTGTGCACTGCTGGTCTGCAGGCTAAAAAGAAAAATAAGACTCCAAAGTATCTTTTTTTTTAGCTTCTATTACAAATAAAAGCTGTTAAATGTTGATTTATGTTGTGTTTTCATATTGTGAAAGCCAAACACACTCAAAACCCAAAACTTCCACACGATTAATTGATGAAGCTGGTGCAAAACCGTCCTTTAGGAGGAAAAAGAAATCCTCAGATAAGGATTTTGATAAATATGACTGTGTACATAAAAACATTTCATAATAATGCATGATTGGCACCCATTCTGGAATGTTCCTTTACTTGAAAGATGTTTCCATACAAAACAAAGAATAAACAATTGAATTAGGTACAGTTCTGGTCAGAGGTTTACTTACACCCCTTAAAAGAAATATTCATTTTGTCGTTGTATATTTTGTTAAAGTTTTAACCCATTGTATAGATTTTTCAATCCACAGGGTTAATACTTTGTACAGGCTCACACACATACTTATATATATACCCACAATTAACAGTTCACATGTCCACTAATAAGCTGCACCACAACCACACACTTATAGGAGCAATTCAACCCTTCTGGCAAAATTATTCAAAATCCATTTAAGTTTCTGTCTGAATAGGGTTATATTCTGGTCGTTTCCATTTCCCAAATGTCGGTGACTTTTGTCGTTTATAAAACCAGTTAGGCTCCGTGTTTGGGCTCACATGTTGGAGCATCAATCAGTCCAGGTGTCATTTGACCCAACCCTAATATTTAAATAATTTACCTACAATTTTAGGGGTCAATCAGAGCTCGAGGTTTTGGGTCCTATTACCAACTTAGAGGTACTGGAACCCCAGTGAGAGCATCTTTATAAATCCCTTTTACATTGTCGCAGACTGAGATGGAGACTAAAGGGCAGATTACACTTCTGCAACCGCACACATCAAACGTCGCAAACCGCTTTTGCTGCTATGCTTCTGCACCGTCGGCCTGGAATTTCTAGGGACGCACAGCAGTTTCCCACCAAAGCGCAAGAGAGAGCCTATTCGGAAAACTTCGGCAGAGCCGGCGGGAGTGTTTATCTTCCAAAACAACAATGGCGCGTCTGCAAGATTTCACGGTCACGGAGATGGATCTAGAGTTTCTTGACATAGAAGAGGATATATCTGTTTATATAATTTGTCTGAGGCATCGCACAAGTGGTTGTACTTCCGAACCTCCTGGATTAACCTTTCGTCGTAGTTGTCCATTGTAGTCGTTTCTCGGTTTTTAACCCTTTAAAGCCTGATCGAAGAATAAAACAAAACAGAAAATGACTTTTTTTTTTGGTTTGAAGTCCTTATTTGGCCTTTTAACAAAATATGTAAAAAGAAAAAACGGAAATACATTTTTGATATTAATAATTTATTACTATGCGATAAGTCAAGATTATTTTTTGTGTAGTCTTCTGCCCTCTGTTATCAGGTATATCTGATTGTGTACAATAGGATTTTGAGCAAAGTTTTTACCATTAAATTATGCAAAAGGTGTCAGACGCAAAACATTTCAGAAACCGTATGTATTAAATATGATACATTTGGCATTACAGGGTTAAAGATGGCGCGCCCCGGCACCGAATCGAGAAGGACGACCACACAGACAGCCGGAAAGTCATACCGCACAGAGACAGGTTTAACTGTTTCAGAGGCTTTGCGTCAGAAGCATAAATTGGCCTCAAGAGAGCATCATCTGCTGAAAAATACAAAAGAGAAGAAAATATATATGTGGACAAGCTAAGTGCTGAGGGATGAATGTTTTATAGTCACACAAAAAAAATATAAAAGGAGCGAATGTATTAAAGAAAGATGTTTTTGTGGATTGAAAAAAGTAAACAATAAATTTAAACTTGTGCATCCAATTATTGTTTTTTCCAAATTATTTTAATTTGAATGTTGAACAATCAACCCAGCCAAATGGCCATTGGTGTCTCTGTAAATGCCTGACTGAAACTGCAATAATACATAAACTGTTCTCACTTAAATAATAATAAAAATAAATACTAATCCTTCAAGTTTTATAAATTGTTTTCCAGTTAATTCAAGTATTTAAACGTTATTTAGAAGAGCTTTTTTCCTCCAGGGATAACTGATACCACCTGTGAGTCCGTGACGTCTAGACGTCGATCGCCACCCCATGTTTGGTGGAGATCATGTCCCTGGTTCCCGTCAGGTACATGAGCACAGAGCACAGGTGCGGAAGTGTCGCTGTGATGCTGACATACAGCCAGTAGGGGACGGGTGCGGTGCTTCCAAACGGGCAGACCCACAGGCCGTGGCGCACGGCGTCCCGCACGTGGTGAGACGTCATGGAAATGAAGAGCATCCATGGCAAGGAACACCAGGCGTCTTTAAGGCGGCCGATCCACATGAGGAAGCGGAGGGTGAGGCAGACGACGGGGATCAGGGAGGAACAGTGGAGGGGAGGGCGGTGAGGAAGTGACACTGCAGCCTGGAAGGAGGGAAACAAAAATTTAAATATTACAAAACAACAACTATTATTATTATTTTATATAAAAGAATGTGAATGACCTCACTGAGTCTAATAACATGCAGAATAGTGCAGCTCTGACCTTAAGTGAAAGTGATCCAGCCATGTAGAAGTGGTCCAGGTCTATAAGTGATGCCAGAAGCCCTGCCAGCAGCACCTCATAGAAATCACTCTTTTTCCTCAGTCCAATCACAACAGCCCACGACCACAGCCCCACCAATCCATGCGTGGCGCTGTCCAAGACTGCACGCAGCCACAGATGCTGCTGGATGCCAGACAGTTGAAGCGTGTTATCTGCCACCACACAGAACATCCCGAGTCCTGCCGAAGCCAACAGGGAGGCGGAGCTGAACGTTTGTAGGAGGGCCTGGGCTTTCTCCGTCTCCACGGCCAAACTGAGAGGCACTCGAGCGCCATCCGCTCTGAGACCCGCCCCCAACAGGGGGGACGAAGAGGGGGAGGAGTTGAGCTTGGAATAGAAACCTTGCATGTTGAGCGGCGGTTAGGGGGAGGCAAATGTAAGAGGTGGTCTGCAAGATTAAGGCAGACTGGAGACAAAAGGGGTTGACAGAGGGGAAAATAAGAAGAAGGGTGTTACCTGTGAGGTAGAGATGTCAATGAACAGGAGGACCCAGACAAAATAGGCAACAGCAAAGGCCTGTCTAACATTTAAACTCAATCTAACCATTAAAATAACTCATGATGTTACATTTTAGTGTAAAGATACTTTAATATTCATTTGTAAAAGTCTGATGCATATTCCAAACATCTTAAAATCTGATGATTTGTCTGATCTAAATCATTTTCAGTAAACAAACTGAAGACAAACTTACATCAATTCTCCAACCAGCCTCCAACAGGATTTTATTCCCCCTAGTATTTTCCTGTACTCTGACTCTTGTCTTGACGCTTAAGAAAAACATTTGCAGTATTTGGATCACTGCTCAGATCAGCCTTAGTCTCATCTTGGCTTGTTTTAAACATGAAAACTGTCTGGCTTCACGTTTTTTCTGTCATTCTAGGAGAATTACAATTGTTCCATATTGTCCCCATGCCTTTGGATGATGCCAGTATGTTGGGGCAAATTTTAATTGGGGGTTTCGTAGCATAGAAGATGAATACATCTGCTGTATATTGGTCTTCTATGTGAAATGAAAATAAAATACATAGTTTCGTGATTTAGATGTGATTTAAAAAGTAACAGCACTGGGGACTACTGCTATTTTTAAAGCCCCGTATGAAGCAAATATTAATGCAATAGAAACCTGAAGGGAATAAAAGAAAATATGCCTCTATCTGTGTCTAATGCAACTGAGTGAAATGTAGGACAGCCTAATTAAGCCTGTTATAAATAATAATTAGCTGTTATAGCACAGTTTCATTGCCCATCTCCCTCCCTACCGTCTCTTCTTTATAGATTTTTTTTGTTTGTTTTACACTTAGATAAGTAAATTAAATAGATTTTTATGAAGCTAATTTCAGCCATCTATGGTGACATTTCTGTTGCTAGGAGCTAGCGGTGGAGAACAGGATGCTGCTTTGTGTAGGCGGCGGGGAGCAGCTGCTTAAAGCTCAGCACGAATAACAGAATATGAACCGCTTCTATTTAACACCACAGGACAATATCGAAGAAGACAAATACGCATTATATTACTTATGAGCATTTAAGAGCAACCAGTTGAGATAAACCAAGTTACTTACCCCATAGCACAGCATCAGATACCCTGCTGCTAGGGCTAGGCTTCTTCTGCTGTATTGTTGAGTGTGTGGAATGCTTAAACAATGCGATGCTGCCACCCAGCGGCAAAGCGAGGGACGGACAAGTGGTTTAGATTGATGAGAAAAAGGTGGAAGTAGAACTTTTTTTGACAGGCTTCTTAATTTCCGGATGACACATCCCCACTTCTTAAAAAAATAATATCTGAGTGGCTATTAAAGATGTTTCAAAGTTTCAAGTTTAACTTTTAAGGCTTGTGAACTGTTTGTACTTTAAAATACAACCATAAAAATGCTGCCAAGTTCCTCTTAAATCTCACATAAACTGTATTAAATATCCACTGTATAAAGTTGATTTATTCACTGTAAAAAAAATAAAAATAAAAAAATCGACATATGAGTCAGAAAAGACTTGCCAATTTTGGGATTCATATATTTATCAAAAAATGAAAAGTTTATCAAGACTTGTCTACCTAATCTAGACAAAAGCTGTCCTAATAAACAAATGAAATTTACTTAATCTGATTAATTTGAGTTTCTTTTGGGGAAATATGTCACATTACATCAAGACAAGGAATATGGTCAAGATATCAGTGAGGTGGCTTAACAATGGCTTAACGACTTTGATGTAAAAAAAAAAAAATGCTGTGAAATTGTTAGAGTTCCATAAACAGACTCACACACAGTTTTTTTCATGATTTGTAGGGACTTTTCTTGACTTACATTCATTTTATATGGCCTAACCCACATACTTACCTTTAATCTAACCATTACCAACATATACTTAACCCTAACCTCTCTGAATTCATACCTTAGTCCTAAACGGGACCCTGACACAAAAACAGCATTTCCCCCTCATGGAGTTCAGGCATCGCGCCCCACAGGGAGCAGTCGGTCCCCACAATGTACTATTCTGTGAAAATGGCCTCACAATGCATTAAAAAACAAGAGCACGCACTCACACGCACACTCAACAGTTGCGACAGTAATTTGGAATAAATGATATTACACTTTCATAAATCCACATTTTTCCCCAACTGGTTTGAAAAAATATTTGGTCTTGATTTACCCCCCCTTAAACTTTCATAATTTGTTTAACAGGTTTCCCCAAGAAAAAAAAAATTCTCGCAAGAGACATAATGACTTACTAATAATAAGTATAATATACTAACATAACTCCCCCCTTTATATTTCTATGAGGACCATTTTGTTATTATTATTATAACAGAGATGAAACAAACTAAAACAAATTTTAGGCAAATAACTGAATTAACATTATCTTGTGAATAGCTATTTATTGTATTTACTGAAAAAAAAAACGGAGAGATATGACATTAAAATAAATAATTCAATTACTAAAGCACTTGTAACAGTTATTCTCCTTGCACTATTCTATTCCTCTATGTTTTCATATTTTACATGCTGGTCAAAAACAAAAGTTACAAAAACATAGCCAAAAACATGTGAAGATGATGACTTTTGTATGTGTCATAAATTATACATATGGCAAAATAAAGAATTTTTGTCAAACTCCATTAGGTGAACTGTGTCTATACGGCATTATATGAACAGGATTGTGGGCATCTATATATTTACTAGTGGCAGCTTGGAATGTCATAAGGGCCCTATGCTAAATAAACTGAAGCTAGGAAGCATACTGATTCCTTATAACACATTGAAACCCCCAGCTGCTGTTCCTCCCCCTTTTATAGGTTAACAGAAAGACGTCCATTGTGGGTAGGAAAAGTCTGAACTACTTTGTGTTTTCCGGGCAGGCTTTAGCCTTTTGGACGCCACTACATAACAGAAACGTTGAGAATGATGCTAATCAGTTTGGGGGTTTATACTTGCTTGTAGCACACACAGTAAATGTGATGTATCAATGTGATTTTGTTCATTTCTATCAGATGGGCTGTTCTGTAGATCATGTCATGCAAAGCTCCATACGCTCAAGGAACTATGATAGGAAGCATACAAGCTGTTTTTATTACCCACTTCCTCACTACTTGGACTATTCAGACAGCACTTTTCATGGTGCCTGCTGACACTTTGCTTTGGCTTAAGGGTCTTTGATGATTTGCCGTATTTGAACATGGCCAAAGAAGAAGAAAAGAAATGATCCAGTTAAAGTTCACCTCAAGACATTATGAGGTTTTTTTTTTGTTAAATTTAAGAAGTTTTTAATCTTTCTCTAAAAGTTGTCAGTTATAAATGTTAGGTGTGCCCTCTCTCCAGGGAGCAGCTTTGTAAGCAGTCTAAGATCATTTATTGATTATTTCTAAGTGAATCTATTCAGCATGTTTAGTTTTTGTTTCAAATGTATTTTTATCTTCTTATACCTTTGACTGTAATAAAGTCTGCTCTTTTGGTTCATGATCTCTACACTATTCATAATTTTCATTGCAGTGTTTCCCAGCAGTCAAAAGAGGGCCCTTTTACCATGCACTCAAATTTTAAGATAAGTCTGTTCTCTTTTTCTTCTTGCAGTACTTCACATTTCCTCAGTTTTCCTTTTGGTTTTAGAAAACCACTGTCCTTTTCTATCTCTCTCCCACTGCTTTTACCACATATCCTTAATTTCTCATTCAATAATGTTTATGTCTCTTTTACGAAATCTTAGTTTCACTGATCTGTTTTGAGGCCTCTCATGCAGCATTATTTGCTATTCATTTTCCCTTTACACCATTATGTTCTGGTACTGCAAGAAAGTAAATCATAAAATCTTGAATTCCTTTCAAGATTTCTGGTCTGCTTTCTGAATGGCTGAATGTTTGTTCAGTTAATAGATAAATCATCATTACAAATTTATTTTTGAACTAACTATGGTTAACTTTATCAAGCAATTAATTAAATTTATTTAGCTTCAATATGTTGCAAAAATCAAAAACTACTAGAAATCTAAATGGGGGTAAAACTATTCCACACCTCTGTACATAAAATATCCTCACTTAAATGCATGTAAGGTGTTCCTAGAATTCTTCATTTGGACCAGTTTGGAACAATCTTTTTAAGGTGTTCCCTGGGAAATATAATTAAAACATATGATGTACAAATCTGTGAAGATTCTTAGTTATCCACATCATGGTAAACCTTGAAAAGTTTAGTTTAGGCAACTGGATGGGAAATTTTCTGTTTTGCCTCTCATCCAAGAGGTTTCTTCATTTCTAACTAGCGTTAGGGAGCACTAAGATTTATATACTGTAGGTGTAAGAAAGAATTAGGAGAAAACAAAAGGTGGATCGGATCCCACCGATTAGAAATGCCATGGAGGTCACCTGGGGTGTTAATGGTCGTTAGGGAGCTCTGATTGGATGTTAACTCCGTCGTCATAGTTCTTTCCGTCACATGCCTCTTTGAAGTTAGTCAGGTGAGGGCAGGTGAAAGGTGAATCTTCTGGGTATTGTTCCTAAAAGTGATTTGTAAGTAAGGGATAGGTTATATCTAAAACCACCTCCTATTTTGAGAGATGTTTTTTTCCAGGTTAACACAGATGTCTTCCCTTACCCCTCTCTTAAACCATCTGTCTTTCTTGACCAGAATATGGATGCTGTTGTCCTAAAAGGAGTGTCCTTTAGCCTTCAGGTGTAGGCTAATAGCTGATTCCTTTCCTAAGGAGTTGTCCCTCCTTTGTTTAGCCATGCACCTGCGTAGTGGTCTCTCCAATTTAAAGGTCTGTGTACTGTTCACTACTCTGAATGGCGGAAACCATGTTGTCTGACTTGTTTCTGGGTGTTTTGCCTTTGGTTTGAACCAGTTTATGTCTCAGGGTGTTTAAAGTGCACAGGGATCCGATACTAGTTGAAAACCCACCTGAGTTTTTCAGAGACTCCAGAAACATAGGGAAAGATAATGTTCTTTCTTCTGTTCTCTTCCTTCTCAGCAGGCCTATTCTTGTTGGTTTTTAAATAAAGCCCATCTGTGATAACCACAGTTCTTCAGGGCTGTTCTGATATCTCCCTTTTCTTTCATCTTCTCTCTGTTGGTGGTGGGGATGATAACTGCTCCTGTCTGGACGGTTCTGATGAAGCCTAGTTTGTGTTCCAGTGGGTGATGTGGGTCAAAACAGAGGCACTGGTCGGTGTGTGGGTTTCCCATACATTTCTATCTTGAGATGTCTGTCTTCTATGATGCGAACTGCACAGAAGCAGAAAGTCATCTTTCACATCTTCCCATGTTTATGATGTACATGATGTTTCTGTCCACTGCGTTTATGTGGTCTATGAACGTGTTGATATCCTTGGTCTTTATTTTGACCCATCTTTCATCCACATATCTAAACAATGTGCAAATCTATTCTTATGCTGACAGTTTCTCATTCTACGTATCTGTGAAACTCAGGGAAACACAGCTATTAAAATTACTATTGCAAAGAATTTCTCACTTTTTTCTCTTATTTTGTTTCTAGCCCAGTCAAAAATCAACTCTAAAGTCATGAATTAATAGAGGTTAGTATGTTGGTGTCTAATAATTCCTTTCTTTCCAAACAGATCCAGAATAAAATGCTTTTTTAAGTTGTTGAATCTTGTGTATTGGAACTATTTCTGCATCTCTCTTTTTATTGTTTTGTTTTGCAATTGGTAAAATGTCAAACTTCCCAACACATGTTGTGTATATAAAGCTGTGCATAGCTCAGTTAAATTTATCTTAGTAGCGACTTAATAAAATAGTTGTGACACAATTGTGGATTTAAAGAATGCAGGATGTCAAATTTTGTGAAATAGATGCAAATTATAAGTGTCATTAAAAACAATTGATTATAAAATTAACCACAAGAGGGGGCAGGAGACTGCATAATAGGGATTTGATACTGATTAGCATTAAAAATAAACAGAAAAGAAGTAAACTAATGTGTACTACATTTTTAGAACATCCAAAATGTTCAGAAGAAACTCAATATGAAGTCTGTGGGGGAAATTAGATCTGTAGTTTGGTTAAAAATTTAATTTTCAAAGTGAATCTTTCAAGCAGAGTGTAAGCCCAGCATTAAATTCTGACTGGCAGATGATATTAGCTCCTGCGATTAGTTTAAGGCACAACTGCTGA